TCAGAAGACAGAGTTCCAGGAAGTTAGGTACAATTCACGCATGATTCATTGGGTGAAGACTTTATTCATAGTCTTTGTCATTTAAATCTTTAATATCTGTTGGCCTACTCAAATTCTCTAGTTCTTCTTGAATCTATTTTGACACTTTGTACTTTCCTAGGCAATTATCAAAGTCCTTTAAGCTTTCAAACCTGCTTGCATATGTTTCAGTATTGTTTTTTTTCTTTTCAGTTGTATCATAGTTATTTCCTATTTTTTGTGCCTTTAGTTATCACCATGTTATCCTCTTCTTTCATTCTCCTTATTGAAAGGGTTGCTGGCCCAGGCCAGATACTGTAGCTGGTAAAGCCAGGGAGCTCCTATCTCCCCCCACCCTTGGAAATTACCTCTGGTGCCAAACTAAGACCAATGGGCTACCTGTGCATCCCTAATGCCCCTTGGGTTCCACCCCAGGCCGAGGCTACTTATGTGTCTCACTCCACGTGTCCGCGGGAGAGATCGCCGGCCCCGGGGTGGAGATGCCACGCCCCAGGGGGTTGGGGGTGTCTCTCCCCGCATTCCCGAAATAAAGGTTACTTATATTTTATACTTCTTATCTTTTCAGCCACCGCCGGCCAGTCCTCCTCCTCCTCTTCCTTCCCTCCACAGATCTATCAGATGGTGCCATGACTGGACAGCAGGTGAGAGACTCCTGGGGCTGTTTCCCAGTTTCGAGTTCCCTGCTGTTCAAGATTCCTCACTTCTACACTCAGAAATTCTAAGCTTGACTGCTGCTTCTCAACCAACACCCACCAATTTACCACAGGTGAGCAACTCCCCGGAGACAGCCACTGAGCCAGGCTCACGTGGATTTTCTCCCCTCTTTGCGTGGGTTCGTGACCCTTTCACATCTTTTAGACAGCCCACACTGAGAGACCCTCACTTTAAGGCTTTTACCTTTGCTTTGGGAATGTGCACCTTTCCCGCCAGCTTCCCTGTCCCTTTGTCTCCTCCAGGATCCCTCCCCCTCCCCGCACTTAAAGAGATAACAGCTCTTCCCTTGCAGCCTTTCGGACCCCCAGTTGTGCTGCTAGCATCTCTGTTTCCCAGCGCGCGCTTCCTTTCCCCACCGCACCGCGCTGCTAGCTTCCTTTTGTTTCCTGTGTGTGCCAACCCACCCCCCGCCACCGAGATTAAAATGAGACCAGACAGTAAGAGATTCACATAAAACTGCTTTAGATTTTAAACAGCCTTTTTTTCTTTTCGCTCTCACATCGCGTTCCAATTCTGTGGGCCCCAGTTTCAGCTCCTCGTCCAACCCGTTCCGTGCCACGCCGGCTCATTCATGCCGGTCATTCCTCCGCTGACAGATACCCACGAGACTGTCCACACCATGGGTTCGGCTTTTGGTGCTGCACCCTGGGCCACGCGTCCCTTGCAAATGCGCCGGCTCCTGCAGGTTGACGCTCGCTGGCTGCCAGTCTTGCGCCTTTGGGAGCAGAGCCCACTTGGCCACAGGCTATGCATCTCCTGCCGCCGCTGCCGCCGCCCCGCCCCTCCGCGGCACCAGACGCGAGCTGCGGCTGCCATCCTTCCATGGCGCCAGGCGCCACCTCTGGCCACCACTACAGGCCTCCAGCCCCACCCCCTTGCGCGGTCGCAGCTGAAATACGTTATTTCCCTGCGCCATCTTAGCGCGTCATAGTAGCGTCTAGGTGAGATCTCTGCCCGCCCCTGTGCACTATATCCCAGCGTTCGCCCTGCCCACTCTGCATGTTCCATGTCAGCCCGCCCCTGCGCGATGTGTGGTGGTGCTCATCTCGCCCCAAGCACAACTCTGCTCTCTTCCTACAGGTGCTATCTATCTCAGTGTTTTAAGCTGCCTTAAACACTGCGCGTTTCCAAAGTCTCGCAGCCCCCCTCAGTTTTTTTTTTTTTACAATTCAGTTCCACTCAAGAGAGGATACTTTTTTCTTACAATTTTTTCTACCATTTATTCAATATTACTGGCCACCTGATAATTTTACCAGCCTGCCTGCCTTATAATCTTAAATGCCAATATTAAGCTCCTACATACTTACTTAATTCTACAGACAACTTTTACTATAGTCCAGATCTCAAACAACAAGACAAAACTTGACCTTCAAGCTCCACAGAGACCTTGATATGGTTGTTCATATTTTAAATAACACTTACAGTTCTGAGAGACAAATCTACACAAGGTAAAGCTACCTGCCCCCCCCCCCGCCATGGGCCACACTCAAATTCATCAGAAGACATCAGACAAAATCCCCCATCCTGGCATTCTTCGAGACCTTACTCCAGGGCTGTTGGGCTATCCTGGCCACCAGAGAGTGGCTGGGCCATCCTAACTTGTAGCCCTCACAGGTCACTGCCAAAAAACCTTACTCCAGAACTGTTGGGCTATCCTGGCCACCAGAGAGTGTCTGGGCCATCCTAACTTGTAGCCCTCACAGGTCACTGCCAAAAAACCTTACTCCAGAACTGTTGGGCTATCCTCGCCACCAGAGAGTGGCTGGGCCATCCTAACTTGTAGCCCTCTCAGGTCACAGGGGCCAACCGCCTTAGTGGGTGTCTGTCTCAGAATCCAAGTCACATTAAAACTCTCAAGGTAAGACATTCTCTATATTCGTGGACATAAGAGACCATATATACAGAGTTCTTACTGAGTTTTTAGGCTAATAAATCCTCGGTGTCTCACGGAGTATTAAAGGTCAACCTATGCCAGTTACAAACAGGGCCTATTTTATACAGGCCCCAGTCCTAAATCTTAAAATGCTTTTATTCCCTTTTAAACTGCCATCCTGGTTTCACATCACTCAGGCCCTAGATCTAACCATCCTTTTGGTACTCATCTCTGCCTTACGACTCACAGGTTTTCATGTTTTGTTATCCACTTTGGTTCTTAATTTCTTACATTCTATTAATGATAGCAGGACTCTTTAACAGGATTGCCTACAAACTCCAATGTCACATATACCAGAGACAAGCCTTGCCTACCTTACCTTTTAACTTTTATGCTTTCATATGGGGGAGTAAGCACCTCTCATAACTTCACTCCTCCTAATCCCACGTTTAATTTTTCAGAATTCTGCCTTGCCATAAAAATGTTCCTACCTCAACGTCATCCTGATAGAATAACATGTCTAAATCAAAGACACCTTTCCCTCTACCTCACTTGGGTCCATAAATATGACAGTGCCATGTCTCCTCATAACATCTTGTCTCTTTGTTTTTTCAGTCTAACATACGTGCATTCACTAGTGAAGTTGTCCTGACTAAAACTCCTGGCACCAGCTTCTACCTAGACATCAACTGTCATCCCGTCGACTCCCCTAGACCCCAATACAGCGCCCTCAGCCAGCAGGAGGTAGTTAAAGAGAGAAATCTTCGCCCCTTTTCATAATAATCATAAGACGGGATATGAAAGGGTTGCTGGCCCAGGCCAGATACTGTAGCTGGTAAAGCCATGGAGCTCCTATCTCCCCCTACCCTTGGAAATTACCTCTGGTGCCAAACTAAGACCAATGGGCAACCTGTGCATCCCTAATGCCCCTTGGGCTCCACCCCAGGCCGAGGCTATTTATGTGCCTCACTCCACATGCCCGCAGGAGAGATCGCCGGCCCCGGGGTGGAGATGCCACACTCCAGGGGGTTGGGGGTGTCTCTCCCCGCATTCCCAAAATAAAGGTTACTTATATTTTATACTTCTTATCTTTTCAGCCACCGCAGGCCAGTCCTCCTCCTCCTCTTCCTTCCCTCCACAGATCTATCACTTATCACTTAAAACTCCTTAAACACTTTAAAGCAACAAGCCAGTCTGGAATTTAAGTTCCTCTGTGAGTCTGTGTTTCCTGCTCACTGATCTCTGCTATATCCTTTATTATTCTGGCCCTGGATCCTTGGTTTCTTCCCTTGCTCTTTTTCTTGACCTCTTGGGTTGGTTTACCCTGGCACTTTTACTTTTCTCCCATTCTGAGCACACATACTTATAATCAAGATATCTTCTGTGCTGTTTTAACTGTATCACATTTATCTGGATGTGCTGTTTCATCATTGTTCAGCTTCAAGGTTCCTTACCCTGTCCTAGGATTGTGTCAGTAATATCGAGTTTTGCAACCTGTTATTTATATAAGCCTTCCTTTACTACTAATTCTAGCACAGCTCCCTCATGGGTGGGAAACACATGCTGTTCCCTGAATTACTGAGGCCAAACTTACTCTAGTTTTGTGCATGTTCTCTGAATGCTTAAAAAGTAATATGTAAATCCCAGCACTCTGGGAGGCTGAGGCAAGAGAATTTTAAATTCAAGCCCAGCCTGAGTAACTAGTAACTGAGCAAGAGCCTTTCTCGAAGCATAAAAAGGATGGGATGTAACTCAGTGTGGAGGTTCTGGGTTAAACCTCCAGTACTAGGCACACATATGCACAAGTACACATAAAGTCCATGTGTGCTAAGGGTTCTGCTCACTTGTTAAAGGCTTGAAAAGACAAAGTCCTTCTCTTGGGTACAGTTCTGCAGGGTTCCTGAGCCAAGCCTGTGCTCCTCAGCCAACCTCTTCACAGTTCTGAAGGTACAGGGTGATAACACTGCTGGAGCTATAGGAACTGGTACTTCAGGGTGATGCCAGGTGCTACAAAAGTACCCACTCCTGATGCCTCCCAGCCCAGGATCCCAAGATCCACCTTTCCAGATACCCCTGAAGACCTTCAGCAGCTGGCACAGTCTTCTCATCATTCCTGAAGCTTGGTTTCCCGCTGCCCAAGTGGACTCCAGAGAACAGCTGTGGACCTGAGACTGGCCCAAGCACGTGCACCCATAGCCAGCCTGCAGCCAATGGGATAAGGAAGCTCCTCTGCCCCAGGGCCACACACTCTAGAGCTCAGACTTCTGGGCCACAGCAGGTAGGACACAAGCCTTGACCACTTCCCTGGGCAAGTTCAACTCTGCAGCGATATCCCTGGCAAATAAGCCAGCAACCAGAAGAGGCAACTACTCACCTTCCCCCATAGGCAGGCTGGACAGTTCAGAACAGGTCCATAGACACAAACACTGGATACACCTGGGCTCAGAGCATCATCACAGGAGCTGGAGATCTGCAGCCTGTGTAGAACTCACCTACCTGAAACAGGAATACAGAGCATATGAAGTCCTGTGCACAGATTTGTCCTTGGGACTGGGCCTACACATCACTTCTGGCATCAGCAGAGCAGTAAACATCTCTGGAGCATTTAGGGCTAAGCTTGAGTGGGCAGGAATCAATGCCAGAAGAGCTGACTCTGGGAGTGCTGCCAACAAGGCCTAAAGAAGTGCAGCATGGGCAGGCACCTGCTTCACATGTGCAGGCCAGGGGAAACCTCCTGGGGAGCCTATATAATGTTTACTTATAACACTTAGTATACTTATCTGTATACATTGGTTTTAAATTGACTTTTATGAAACTATACATTCATTTAAGTACATCTAGTTTTCTGCTTTTATAGCAGGGAGATCATCTCATTCCAGCCTGCAATTCTGCCCACTGGGGCCACTTTCTGCACCACCTAGTGTTTTCCCAGCATGCCTCATTTTCACCCATGTTTTTGATGTTTTTCCTTTTGAATTCAGGTCCAGTGCCCAGGCTAGAGACTTGACTCCCAGTGACAAATGCTCAGTACTGAAGGTCACCCAATTGCTGTGCTCATATTCTATTCTGCCAATGTACCTTTACAACCTCCACTTGTCATTGCTATAGGCATCCTAGAAGGCCCACTGACAACAATTCCAAAACTTGGGTTCCTGAGAATGTGGCCCCTCAGGAATTAGAATCTGTGCTAGATGCTTCTGCCTCCTCTGAACCATTCAGGTAGCCACAGAGCATCACCCTAGGTCATTTCCAGCCAATATCTTGCTCACACAACTGCATGAAATTTAAAGTAAGGTGGGCCAGAAAGCACCAGTGCAAAGTGAACTAGTGAGCTTTCCCACCGCCAGAACTAAATATCTAACATCCACAACTTGAAGGGAAAAATGGTTTACTCAGCTTAGGGTTTCAGAGAATCTAGGCCATGGTCAGCTGACTCTAAAGCAGAGACATTATGGCGGAAGGACAAAGCTGTTCGTTTCATGGTAGCTGGGAAGTGAAATGCTAGTAAGAGATGTAACCTCCATACACTCAATCAGTGGCCCACTTCCAACTGGTCCCACCTCAGCTGTGGCCAATCAGCACACTCAGCTGTGAGCATCAGTGGACGGATATCACCCCATGACCCAGAACCTCTCCAAGAGGCTCATTATTCAGTCTAAAATTATTCTAATTGACAGTCTAATTGAAAATTAAGTTTAATTGCCCCACAAAGATTCTATGAAGGATAAGGTTGACTGAAGACCACCCTCTTTCCCAGGGCCCACAGCTAGGGAGGCTGCTACACAGGTGTACCACAGGGCTTGGATGTTACTGGTCACAAATGGGAGACATGGCTGTGAAGTTGGGCCCTGAAGTACTGAAAAAAAAAGTAAGAAAACAATGGAAGAGATCTCCCATTAAAGGTGGCAGGATTGCATATGTTTATCTCTACTCTTATAGAAACCACACTTAATGATACTAAGAAATAGAAAGGCACATACCAGCATGCAGCAGCCACCAGGAGAAAGATGCACCTCCGTAGGCACCAAGCATCTGGGGAAGGGAGAACCCTAGAGTTGTGGACACAATACAGGGATCAGGAAGAGGGAAGAGAGCGATAAGCAGTGCAGGGTAGCAAAGGAAGGGAAAACCTAAGCCAATGAGAAGAAAACCCAGCAGGACAGGCCTCTTGGCTGCATGTGTGTCTCCAAAAATGTGAGAATTAAAATTAGTCCCCTGCTAGCCTCAGGCACCTCTTGTCACCAGCTGATCATTCATCCATCTGCACAGGAGTGCATTAGGCTATTAACACAAAAACAAGAGTCCTGAAGATGATGAAATGACAAAATTAAACAAGGTTTAAATGGAGAAAACAGATTGAGGAGCAGGACCTCTTGAAACCTAGTCTCAGACTTTTAGCAGCCAGGGTGATTTTCAAAAATCAGAAGAACTGAAAATTCTGTTCCTTGAAGACCACACAGTTAAGCAACCAGAGCTCTCTATGTGATCAGCTGACAGAGAAACTAGCAGCACAAGAGAATCCTGATGTCCCAGAAGCTGCAGGAAAAAATAACATCAACACCAAGCAGTGAAGACTCAAAGGCCAAGGATAGAGTAAATGTCCCTGGGTCAAAACATTGATTTTTGGGAAGTCAAGGGAGGGTAGAGTGGAGTCTGAGGCTAGAAGTGTTAATTTTGTGACAAAGGTGCTTTTTTTTTTTTGTGTGTGTGTGTGTGGGGGGTTGAACTCACAACCTTGGAATTGCCAGGCAGCTTATGTGGCTAAGCTAAACTCCTGGCCCAAAGTGATTTCTTTCTTTCTTTCTCTTTTTGTTTTTTGACAAAGGTGCTTCAGAGGAGAAAGAGAAACTGAAGAAGGCAATGTGGGAGCCATGGCAGGAAAGAGAAAGGAGAGCGAAGAGCAGATACACCAAGGCATCAGAAGGCACACTATTTAACTTATCTCCAAAAGTACTATTTTTTAAAACAACGTTTTTCTGATCAGTAGAAAAGAATGCTTGTGGATAAAGAAACCTGGTGAACCCTACATACCTTGACATTCTCTACCCAGCCAGAGATATCTGCTACTGCTAGTTCATGAAGTTCTGTGCACTTTCAAACAGAGAGCACAGAAAGTCCCTTGGTTAGATAATCATCTCTGAGTGAAGCGTATTATCATTCTGTATGAGGAAACAGGAAAAGCAAATCTTCCTAGCTGATCACAGCACCTTCAACCAAACGCAGAGAATCTATCACAGCATTCCAGAAGTAACTGAAACTATTAACGATGTTATGGATTAAGAACTGGTGGTCAATTTAACACCAGCTGCATTACATCAGCATGGCATTGAGCGAAGATGTTCGACCTGAGGAAAGTTGCCAGGACAAATAGGTGGAGAAGAAGGGAGGTGTTGAGGGTTGAGGCATTAATGCATTGTTGTGTGGAAGCATTGTGAGTTCTCCTACAAGTTGCTGTTTGAGCTGTTGGTTCTCCTGGAGAAGCTTTGGTCCTCACATCAAGCATTGCTTCCTGGCTCTGGAGGGGAAGACGTGTGCTGCTTGGTCTCCAGGATGAACTTGTCACGCTGCTTCCTGGAATGTACCCAACTGTGCTTGACGTCAGAGGAGCTCGGGGCCTCTGTGTCGCTGAGGATGGCTGTGGTACCTTTCAGGATAGCCCTGGTCCTTGCTGTGTGACTTCTTGGCTCCAGTGTAGAACCCTCATCCCACTAGCACAGCTCCTTCATCCTGCTGGCATAGACTTTCTGTCTTCCACTGCTACCCTTGGGTCTTCCTGGCATGGATCCATAAAAGAGACTGGTGTGAGTCCTTCTTATGGGCTCTGGACCTCCAGTTGGACTCGTGGGAGGCATTGTCCTGAGCTCTGGGTTTTTATCTGAACTCATGTGGGACATTGCTGTGGGATTTAGGCTCTTGACTAAATAATCTATGTCTTTGATGTTGCGGATAGATTTCCTGCATTTTCTTGTGTTAACTCCCAGTGACCATTATAAAAATAATATTATAAACTCCATGTCCTGATCCTAATTGTTCTTGTGTACAACCCCTGACTACAACAAACGGCATGTGCAGATGTGAGAGGCACCAACAGGGAAGAACTAAATGTCCCAAGAACACAGATGGATGATTAAGATTGAACAAAAAAGAAAGCCTGAAATAAGAACAAACTAGGAAAAAAACAAAAAAGGACAAAATCAGCCTGGAAATAAAGACTGTTACAAGGAGTAGAAGGAGACTTCAGTTGAATGTGTGAGAACTGAAGACACTGAAAGAAAATGCGACAGAGCAAGGTAAAAATGATCAAAGACAAAGTGATAGGTACTAAGTGTAACACAAAATGATCCAAGGAGTATATCCTGGAATTCCCAAAAGAGAGAGTGAAACTATGAAGGAAAACTAATACCTAAGTCCCCAGACATAGTTTTTAGGGGAAAATTACTCTGTGAGCTGAAGAGGCTCATCATGCACTTAAGCAAACAGACCAATTGTGTGGCCTGGGGCACATCGAGTGAACTCCAGATACCGGGAGGATTCTCTGGGCCACTGGGTAGAAAGACCAGCTCACTCAGCAAAAGCCAGGAGACAGACTCTAGCCATAAGCAGATTGTAGTGCTGCCACCTCTTCATAAACTCCATAAAAACAAAGTGTGACCACCAGGCTTTCTGTCAGCAATGTCAGCCAGATAGTGCTGGAAAATTAGAGCTTTCCATATCCAAAAGCTAAGCAGAGCTGTGTCTGTAAGTGCCTCATGAGAAGCCACCCAAAGATAAGCTCCCTCATGCCAAAGGACAGTTGGGGAGAATCAGTACAATAACACATATCTGATGATAAAAACAAATATTAAGGGCAGGGATGAAGAGGGCATTGTGAGAAAGGGTACTTTTTGAAAAAGTAGATAATACAATAAAAGACTCAGAGGTAGATGAATGGAAAAATGATGAAGTACAGTTAAGTTCTCTGACTGTGGCTTAAGAAATAGGCTGGAGACAAGAAAACCACTGGAAGCTGACAGAGCAAACACAATGGTCTGAGGAAGACCAGAGGGATGAGGCACAGTGACAGATACAATTACAGTTGGACCTCCATGCCTGCCAGCTCTCAACGTAAATCCAACCAATCACAGCCTAAAAGTACTCAGAGGAAAAATTGTATCTGTATTGAACACGTACAGATTTTTTCTTGCCACTGTTCCCTAAACATTACAGTTTAACAAAAATTTACAAGACATTTACATTGCATTTGGCATTGTAAGTAAGATAGGGATGATTTAAAGTTGGGGAAGGATTGTGGAGGTTCTATGCAAATACAGTGTCACTCTACATGGGATATAAGCATCTATCTGCAGACATCGGTATCTGAGAGCCAATTTCCTACAAATGCTGAGGGACAAACATATGAAGATGAGCAAGAAAACCAAGGCACAAGCCTTCCTAAATGCCAAAGAATGAAAGAGGAGGGATGGAAGATGACACACTACATTGTTTTAAAAGAAGAT